CTGAGGCACCTGCTTGGGTTAAAAGCTTATTGGGTTATGCAAACTTCTTGGTGATGTAGTGACAATCTGGTGATGTTTGAGATGTTTGACACGAAGTAAGTATATATGAGCAGATGGCTCAGCAGTTGGGTGAATTCCAGGGAACTGCTGAGGCACCTGTTGTACTTAGAAAGTGAATTTCAGAGAACTGATAGAGTGATCCTTTCAAGTGATAATGATGCACGTTAAAGGTGTGAATTTTGTCTCAAAGAGAGAGAGTAATTAAGCAGTAAGATAAGCAGTTGGGTCAATTAAGACAACTGCTTAGGATGCTGCTGGCAAACTACAATCTTTATGTGAGAAGAGTTGGGTGTGTGCTTTGTTGACTGAAATGAAATCAACACACGATATATCCTGGTTCAGAGGTGGTGTAATCCTCCTACGTCCAGTCCCACCCTCTTTCAGATGGATTTCACTAAAGTATTAAACCCAATACACTTAGTGCCAATCTAGCCTTTACAACGCTTAGGCCTAGATTGAAGGTTTTTCACGATGAGTATAACACCACTCAAAGTTACTCAGTCCTTAGACTTTTCTCTAATGAACCAGTGGGGATCAAAAGGTACTCTATCTATCTACTTACACTGTAGGATCCGAACAACTGTTCTCCTAAGTGTTTACAACAATATGTGATTTGTTACAAGAAAGTTCTAACCTCCAACTAGGAACTAAACTTCTATGATGTAGCAATGAAGAGCTCGTATACTTGAAGTTTAGTGAAGCATGAGTCCAAGCATAGAGTAAGTTTAGAACAACATTTTCTCTTTTGCTAGATATCTTGTGTATGCTTGTGATATAAATTCTCTTTTTGGATGCTCAAAGCTTGGTTAGAAACTTTCGTTTCAGCCTATATTTATAGGCTTCTCCTTTGAATTAATCTCAGGTTAGGATGAATTAATCTCTGACGTTGAAATTCTTACAAGGACGAATTGTACGTTTGTCTTCTTGTGCTGGAGTTGATTTCCGGGTGATTTCTTTGCCCTGCATCATTCAGCCGCTGAAACATCTCCTCAACGACAATTCCACATGTGCTTCTTCAATGCAAGGACCCCAGTACTATGTTAGCATTTAATCCTCGTCAATTTTGTCTTCAGTTATGTACGTTCAATGTATATAATTTCGAGCTTCTGTTCTTTAATAATGTGACATATAGTTAACTTTTGAGCTCAAATAATATATACCGGTAGGATCTAAATATCCTATTAAGGTAAAATAAAATTACCTTATTGCATTTTAATTTTTCCGGTAATATTCAAATTGACTCAAAAATTGTACATTTATTTTTGTCACATAACTTTCAATGCTAATGTACGAATAATATTGAGAAACAATGTACATGTGCTAAGTATAGTGACATCATCAAAATTGGGTACTAACACACCTTTTAAATTGTAGTTGTTAATATTAAAAACTGTAGTTACCATATTTTCATAGTTGTTAGTAGTTGCATTATAATCAATTGGTTTTTTTGTATATAAATTGTAGTTAGTATTTTTACATTTTTTTGTCAATTAGTTGTTAATAAATTTGTTATTCAATTTATTGACATTGTAATTTTTATTTTTTGTAACATTTTTAAGACAATGAACTGTGTTAGGAAATCCGTTGATTAGGTAATCTCCAACGCAATCGATCAAAGGAGATCGGAGAGGTCATCCTTCGGTGCGGTCGGGCCGGTCGAAAGGTAAATGACAAATAGGGGCAACATCTTCGTTCCAATCACGCGATGATTGGACGACCAATTACGATCGTAGAAATGCGATGACCGGTGTGCAACTTCGAGATCTCTTGAACTAAAACCAAGGCCAAATTTTCCCATCAACAAAACATCCTCGACATTGAAGAGGATCTGGAGGATGATGACGCCGAGGAGGATGCAAAAGATTTGCAATGTTTTAGTTTATTTTAACAACATTACTCAAATTTTTTCCCATGTGTATAAACCAACTAGCAACCAATTTTTTATAGAAGCTGTTAATCTCGTCGATGCTTTTCAAGAATTTTCTCAATTATGTGCATAATTTTTATGATTACATGAAAGAAAAGTTTTTAAATTATTTTGCCTACATTCCGCCTATTTATTCTTTTTGCTTTCTGTCTTGGTCCTCGTTTCAAAGTTTCAAATTATCAAACATTTCTAGAATACTATTATACTGCTTTCTACGGTCCATTCCCTATGTACGAAGACACACATATAGATACTCAAGCCCAATTCAATGAGGTTAGTAATCTATTTCACACTTTATTTAATGTGTTTCATGCACAATATGGTAATGCACCCCCTCCCCCAACACCGAGTGCTTCTTCATCTAAAAGAAAAGTTTTTTTTTGTTTTTAAATCAACAATATCTACTCTTTTTAAAAAAGTAAATCAACTCATGCCGTTGCACAAAGCTCGATCAACAAGCTCTCTTTAAACCTAACGTTTCCTGTTGAGTTTTATGAAGCGAACGACTTTGATATTCTCCAATGGTGGAAGAGCCATTAAGGGATGTTTCCGATTTTATAAAAAATGGCCAAACAAGTGTTGTCGGTGTCGGTTCCGGTCTTCACAAATACAACCCGGGACCGGCCGGTCCAGGATCGGAATCGGATCGGAATCAAGTCCATCCCTACCTTAGAGGCTCAAAGTATGTTTGGATCGGTGAAAAGGTTATGATAACAAAACTCATTGATTGACTTTTTTTATAATCAATTAGTGTTGAACAGATTACGATTAGGTTTTAAAATTTATTGGGTAAAATTTGCTAAAAATAGTTTGAGTAATGAGTACAATTCATTGATATTTGATTTCGTATGCATAAAAAATTAGCTTTTACTACGTATCAACAAGACTAAGACTGTTTTCAGTCCCAAACCAGACCAGATCAAACAAAACTTGAACAATTATAAAATAAACAGAGATCAGACATTTACCATGCCAGACTAGGGGTGAACTCAGGCCGGTTCGGGCCCAGGCCGGGCCTCCGATTTGTAATTGATGGGCGCGGGACCGACCCGAGGTAAGGACGATTCCGGTTCGGGTCGGGTAAATCCATTTTTTTACTTATTTATACTTTATAGTTTTATACAAGTTTAAAAACAAACTTCAAGTGCATTTATTTGAAATGAAATAGGAACTACATTTGGCAATTCTTGTTCTAGTTGTCATCGGTCATCGTATCCCCATCCCTCCTTGCGTAACCTGTATCAAAATTATCTCGGCTTTGAGATGAAGAGCCGATATGTGATTTACCTTTGCGGGATCTCTTCCTCGCAAGCTCGTTCGTTCGGTTGCGATCGAGGTTGCCCATATCAACCGAATATCTACCACCTTACAGGCTTTCATCTTAAAAATGTAACAAATATTAATTTATAAAAACAATTCAAAATAATGAAATAAAATTCTAACAATTCTAACTTTAATGAAATAAAATTCTAACAATTCTAACTTTAATGAAATAAAATTCTAAGTTTAATTGAGTAATGAATTAACTAGTTTTTTGTACTAGTTATTTTATGTACTAACAATCAAAGTATTATATAAAATGTACTAATTCGTACTAAAATGTACTAACAATTCGAACTAAGTAGATATAAATTGTAATATGTATGTATTTAGTAGATATAAGTAGATAATAAGTATATAATAAGTAGATAATAAGTAGAGATTAAGTATATAAGAAATATAAGTAATATAATATATGTATTTATAAATAGATAATTAATATATAACTATATAAGTAGATAAGAAATATAAGTAATATAATATATGTATTTATAAGTAGATAAATAATATAAGTAGATACATAATATATTGGAGAATAAGAGAATTTGAGAAGATGAAGATAATTAGAGAGTAGAGAGTAGGATTTAGGAAGAGTTGGAAAAGAGATATGGAAAAATGTTTAAGATTAGGAGTATTTATAATTTCTTTTTACCCCACCCCGACCCCACCCTTCCCTCACCCCCCAAACTTCCCGGACCCCCCCCCCCCCCCCCCCCGCCAGCCCACCCAACGGCTATATAGCCGTTTGGGTAGTCCCAACCGAAAGCCTAACGGCTCTTTTGGCCCAAAACAATTTTTTTAAATATAACCATTGTGACCCAGACCCGGGCCCGACCCGGCCAGACCGGGTCCCGTTTTGCCGGAACCGAGCCCACCCCCCGCTGCCCCCCGATTCAGGTCTACACCCGGTTTCGGACCACCAAATTGGGCCGGTTCCTGGCCCGCACAGTAGCGGGCCGGGTGGCTCTAGGGGTGGACCGGTTCCGGTTCGGGCCCGGACGGGCCTCGGTTCAAGAAGGGGAGGCCTGGAACCGGCCCGGGTAACCCCGGGTCCGGGCCGGGCCGGGCCTCGATTCTATTTTTTTTTGGCTTTTCCTAGTTAACCCCCAACCCTCCTCCTCACCCCCAAACCAACCCTAACCACCTCAAATGGCCCAAAATACCCAGCCCAACCCAAAAACTAAAAAAAAAATCAAAAAAAAAAATTGGCCCGGCCCAGGCCCGAACCGGCCAGGCCGGTTCACCTTTTGAAGGGCCCGAGCCCGAACCGCCATCCCACCGGGCCCGGAACCGGTTCATCGGTCCGGGCCAGGCCCGCACAGTAGCGGGCCGGTCCGGTTCCGAGCCGGTTGGCCCGGCCCGAGTCCACCCCTAGGTGACTCGAACCGAGTCCACCACTATACCAGACCAAACCAAACCAGCAAATTAAAAACATTTGAACGAAATGACAGCCTGTTAAAAACATCAACAACATATCATCGCAAAAAAAACTAAAACATACTCCCTCCGATTCGAAAAGAAGTTCTATCTTTCCTTTTTGAGCAGATTCAAAATTAAGTTCCACTTTCAAACATTTCCTTATTTGACAAATTATCTACATCAAAACAGTGTCAAACAGTGCCAAACAGTGTTCAAACAGTGCCAAATAGTGCACTCCACAGTAAAGTCAAATTTATTTTCTTAATATGTGTGAAGTCAAATGTGGAACTTGTTTCAGAAACGGAGGGAGTATGAAAAAGACCATTAAATGGCAGTTAAAGTTTTAGAAGCACTACAAAAACACAGCTCCCAAATAACTTCAGTAATAATATCTCAACCAGTTAACGTACAAGTGTAAACCTAACCACTAGCTTATAAATAACATCATTAAAACATCAAACTTGGTAAAAACCAAACCTAGCTTTGCCCATTCCTATAGTGCTCCAATGATCGAAGTTTCTGGGCGTATTAACGCATGACTCAAACTCTAAAATCAACACAAAGTTGAATAAAAAAGATGTTTCTCTGACCACGGTCCACGTATAGTAAAAACACAAATCAATTTTGCCACAACCACCTATCTCTTTTGAAGCGGTAAAAATCAGTTTTCAGAAGGAAAAAAAAGTTCAATTTATAAATAAAGAAAAGACACTTCGATCTGATTCAGGTAGTTCTTTGAAATCCACACCCTCCGATCTGCATATGTAACCAATCAGGTGATGTGCCATTAGGATATTCCCTTTTAGGCTGCGAACCAAATGCTAATCCAGCTGTTAAGGGCTGCGAACCAAATGCTAATCCAGCTGTATCAGCTACTTGTTGTTGAGGAAACTGAAGATAAATAAGATGCGTCTTATAAAGTACTCCGTATTAAACATGTAGATGGTGGCAGTAAAAACACGACTTTACTTCGGAGTAGCAAAAAGGCATCCATTAAGATACTTGTTTCATTCTAAATCATCATCATTATCATTACCCGTGTACATTGGGGTAAAGGGGTCAGATGTACGCAGTCTTACCCATTGTACTAAAGCACAAAGAGACTGTTTCCGGATGACCCATAGTGAAAATCGCGTAAAAAATTGCATGGAGTGACTGTTGCTTCATAACAAAGAAGCACACAATTTAGTGAGCCCATTTGCTTTATTCCATCATATTCCCAAGCCAAAAAATAGTGAGTTTTTGGCTCCATTGCAAATGATGGAATACCTGTTTCATTCTAAATGATATGATAAATTTACATTGGCCAATGTGTGCTGGCTTTGCTTAACTGCATCCCTTCCATCCATGATAATAAATGTATAATAAAAAATTCATAATCATAGTAATGGGTTGGGATCCATCCATCCATGTTTGAATCAATTAGATCAGATAAAAAGAAATTTCTTAAATCAGTCAAATTAGACCATATGAAATCTTCATATTTAATAAAAAATTATTACTCTGCTAGTTATTCAGCTGCATATCTGTTAAAGAAATACACGGCTGATTATTTAATCATCTATAAAAATGAAAAAAATAAGAAATTGGATGAATTAAATATCAATTTTTTTTTATAATGGATGGGTTTATAAAATACGGATAATGGATGCTTAGATTTTTTTGAATTATTAAACTCTAACTAATTCAACCATCATGATCTATATACATACTTATTCAACTCATCAATTGCCCACTCCTAGCTGCACTCGACTAGTTCAAATTTCAAAATGGGTGATGTTAAACACGAATTGTTAATATATACTTACATCTTTGGATGGTATCCCTTCAATCCGGGAAGGTATTGCTGAATCAAGTGTTTCAAGCTTCATGGATAGGAACTGGAAAAAAAAGAAAAAAAACTCCTTAGCACTTCATGGTTCTATTAGGACTGAAATGAGCATGAACTAAACATGAGAAGAGAAAGAAGCCAACCTCAACTTGGTTTTGTAATGATTGGATGTAATTAATTATCTCATCAAGGACTAATGCTTTGCCTATAACCTGATACCACAACAGTCAATATGGTTGATTTCAATAAATCATAGCTATTTACCATCATAAACTGATTGAGTCTCACTTGAGCATTGTCATAAAAGGGTTACTATATTGTTGTGTGAGAAACAGTAACATTGTTTATGTGGTTAAATTACAGGTAGAATGCTCTAAAATTCTAGGATTATGCATTGGGCTTCCCTTTACCGCTCCATTCTTTTTTCAAATATCAGTTCTGTGTACGCGCTAGGCTCCAAGCAAGCGCTTTTAAGAACACTGATGAGAAATAATACTTGTGCATGTTTAGTCTAAATGATATCCCAAATCGGGGAAATTACCACATGAAGAGAGTTTCATGTAAACATTGGGTACTGAGATTTACTTCTTCCGTTCTGCTAAGATTGTTTCATTTTTCCTTCTCCGTCCGTCCCATTAAAATTGTCTCGGGATAAACTTCATGTGATTCTAAATCGTTCTTACTTTATTGGTACTTTATCAATTTGATATCAACCACATAAAACCACTTTTCTTAATAACAACATCACCACATCATGTCCCAATGTTAGTGGGATGGATGTAGTACATGTCATGCTCCAGGAAACATGACCCATTTGGGGTTGGAGGTACTCGACCTTTTGAAGCAAGAGGTGTGATTGCTCTTTATTGTATTAGTTCAAGATTTATACTTACAAAGTATACACCAGCTCTTATGTTTTGTCTAGTTTCTTGATGATGAGCTGGTTCCAAACATTGTACTTAACAAGCCAATAAGTACACCCAAGGATCAAGTATAACTAAGTCACTTCTAAGGTTAACATGCAACAAACGTGCTGATGTGCTATCAAAAATTCATGCTTCTCAATTCCAAAACAGGCTATATCATGTTGTATCCTTGATAAATAGTTTAATTATGAATTTTTATATGTGCGAATAAAGTGATAAGGAGTTTTCAAAACATATAGGGCACCTTGTTGCAGCCAGGGACAAGGTCTTGGAGAATTCTCATCCTTTCACTTATTTTCTCTCTCCTAGCCTGTACATCAAAAGGGGTACATACATTTAGAAAAAGTATGAATAATGTTTAATTTACATAATTACATCTATCATCACAAATCAAACATCTATTGGATTCAAGGAATTGAATTCTAAACTTAAAATATTGGAATTCCAATTCATCTACAATGGAAAGAAGTCCAAATGTTAATACATGAAATATTTTTAGATAGTGAGTCATTCAGGTAAAAATCAAATCCAACATTCCATGAATTCCCTAACATAGAATAAATGAAATCCTATTATCCAACCATAACAGATGATTACTCGTTCTGCTAAGCTGTGACTGTCAGTTGCTTGGCCCCTCCTAGCTCTGACATGAATGTAATCTTTAGGTGGTTCAACTGGCTTTTCAGCTCTTTCTTCTTGCCTTCCAGAAGTTCCTTCAACAACTTCTTCATGTTTAGGTTTATTGTTCAGTCCACCCATCTTCAACCTTTTATTGTCTCCTTCATCACTCTGCTCAAACAGAAACCCAAACATAGATGCATCTCAGTTATCCAATTCGCTTAGATAAGCAAATACTTCATTGTTATGAGGAATTCCATTGCAGTAATAAACCTTAATCTGTGTAAGGTTTGAATTAAATGATTTATCAACAGTTTGAAAAAAAATCTCGAAAGTAGTCTAATAAGGAGTAATTGTTAATAGTACAAAGTCTATTAAATTGACGAGTTAACTATTAATTTTACTCTCTCCTGTCTTTGCATACACATTCGCAACATAAACACAATGGTCATTCATAAAAGCTGTAAATATGTGCAAAGCAAGCAGATATATCTACTAGAAAGATAACCATGCCATTGCCGCTGGCAGAGGCCCCACGCTTAACAGATTTATCTTCCTCTTGTGGCTTCCTAGCTCCGCCAGCGCTCTGGTTCACTCTTCGATCGAAATCCATAGGATCATGTATCGCCACCGCATTCATATTCGTTGCCGGCGGCACCAAAGCATATGACATCGCTCGACCAGGCATGACAGGAAACGGCCAGATCTCCGCCAAATTCAACTGCGCATTGCTATGACCAAGGCAGGATCCTGCTGCCGCTCCTCCGTAATTGAACATCGCAGCTTGCGGATCCATCCTTCGATTTGATCCGAATCCCGAATAGTTAACACCCTAACGGCTACCAATTAACAGGAATTTGTGTAAAAACGCAAGTGACAAAAGCTGCGCGTGCGTGTCAACTAAGCGCGGCCTCCCTGTAGAATGGAAGTTTCTGGTGCGTACTGCGATTGAAGTCGCATCCCGCCGCAGAGCAGAGGAAGCACGCCGCCGCCACCATCCACCGTAGATAGAATTGAGAAAGTGATGGTAGTACGTAGTACGGTAGAGAGAGAGTGCTGGAAGTTCAAAGAAATGACCTCCCTGATTTTTAATTAGTTTAAATTATACTCTGTACACGTTCCCACACAGACAAAAAACGTTCACAAACATTAGTGGATACAAAAGTGAGTATAAGAGTGAGTATAAACATCATTTTTGTAAATTATACGAGTACGTACTAGTACGGTACTAGTAGTATCTCCGAGAGATGTCAGTCCCATTTTTTATCTCACAATTTTTACGTAGACACGTCCTCTAGCTCCGAAGAAGGTAAACAATTGTGGTGTAGAGCTGGTAGTTACCCCGTCTAGGAGCGGAGCCAGGGCACTGAGCCGGTACAAATATATTATTGGAAAAAAATTTACACGAAATTTTTTACACTAAAAATATTGACATTTTTAAATTTGGGGTGGGCCAGACCTTGCCCGGGCATCCCCTAGCTCCGCCCCTGCCCGTCACTTTTTTGCCCTTCGTTTGTTCTAGTATACATGGACTTCAATTCATAGAGGCAATGGTCGACGAAGGTCTTGTTTGAATTCTGGGTGCTACTGGTGCACTTTCATGTTAATTATTAATTAAATAGATTCTTTCACTGCTATTTCCCACACAGATAAACGTAATGACGATGCAATCGAGGAAAAGCATGAAGAAGAGAGGTCATGTTAGCCGACATCCATGGCTATATTGGAAAGTAAGCGCCAAACTAATGAAACATAGGATTTAACTGGTCAATTGATACTGCAACTGAGACATACCCTGTTAACAATGAGACAAGAGGGAGTGACACACAAATTAATAAAAAAGTGTTTTATATGGTTGATATTAAATTGATAAAGTAAGAATAAAGTAAAAATGATTTAGAGCTACACAAACTTTACCAAATTTGATATGAGACAATCTTAGTGGGACGAACCGATAAAATAAAATGAGACAATCGTAGCGGGACAGAGGTAGTAATATTCTGCAGATGAAAGGATTGTATCTTATCGTAAACATCTAAATTATTAAATATTCTATTTCAAACCACTAATGAAAGTGGTTGGTTAAAACTTATAACATAATCCATTAGTATTAATCTGCTTATAACATCTAAATTGACATTCTAGTCATCCACTTTTCATGATAAAATCACATTAGAAGAACTGAAAATATCAATTTCATAAAAAATTGACCAATTTATGGTTAGAGTTTTTTTACCGATTTGGCAAATCACCCATTTTTTTTTTCATTTTGGTAATTTGGTTACCAATTTTGTAACCAATACTCCAAGTGCATCTCTTTCCGTCATGCTCTCACTCATCCCGGAGTCATGACGATGTTTAATTCGTCAATGAATCTTGTAGTAACGGCCATCCAAATTATAGTGAAGCCAGAGACCATGATCTTATTCCATTTCCACTTCAAATATTTTGCGTTTCAGATATTCTTATGTGTTCTCTTTTCACCGATTTTTGTTCAAGCTACTCCGTCTATCGCTCTCTGACATGCTGTATCTATTGTTTATGCAGTTAATCTGAAATGTTGAACTAGCCCATTTGTCCTTCACCTGCTTTTCTTCATTTAGGCTCCCTGTTATCGATCTGTTTTTTTTCTTTTTTAATTAATGCTCGGAAAGAGCTGAAAATTTTCAGGAAAGGGGAGAAGAATGAAGAGAGGGAAGCTTGACTCACTTATCTCGGTGAGTCGGCTCAGATCGATTCAAGTCTTGATGTGTGTGTTGTTTCTGTACCTGGTTCTTGTGAGCTTCGAAATCCCTCTGGTTTTCAGAACAGGTTTCGGGCCGGATTCGCCGGAGCTCGAGTCTCATTCTGGAAACTCGCGTTTAATTCTACTCGATAGCGAGGAGGAGGAGCCCGCGTTTCATCCTCGGAGGGAAATTGCAATTTCTCGCTTCCCGACGAGTGCTACTCAGAGGAAAACGGGAGATTATAAGAAGGTGTCGGGCTTAGTTTTTGACGAGAATGCATTCAATAGCATCAACAAACGCGACCTCTCCCAGATCCACACGGTCGTCAGGGATGCATTCGCGGCCGGGAAGAAATTACTCGAAGAGATAGAATCTGGGCAAATTCAAAGCGACTTGGAATACCGGATGCAGAGTCTGAACGAGTCATGCCCCATCTCAGTGATTTTAACAGGGGACGAGTTTGTACAGAAGGGTAGATTGTTGGTGATTCCATGTGGACTGTCCTTAGGGTCGCATGTAACGGTGGTGGGCACACCAAGGTGGGCTCATTCCGAGAAGGATTCTAGAATTGCAGCTGGGGAGGAGACAGTGATGGTTTCACAGTTCATGATGGAGTTACAAGGGTTGAAGACGGTGGATGGGGAGGACCCACCGAGGATACTTCATCTTAACCCGCGTTTGAAAGGGGATTGGAGTGCAAGGCCAGTGATTGAGCAGAACACGTGTTACCGGATGCAATGGGGAGCTGCAATGAGGTGTGATGGATTAATGTCCAAGGCTGATGAAGAGACTGGTGAGTGTTTTCGTCTTTCTATTTTTGTAAGATATGGTGACTGATTTTGGTCTGAAACCTGCATTTTCTTCTTCTTTCTTTTTGTACTTAAGTTCTAATGTTTTCTTCATATAATTTGCACATTTAGTAACATTATAAATTTGTGGTATTTTGAACATTTTATTTTCTGGATTTTCTTCTAAGCATATGTGTTAATATTGGTAAGGTTTCATTTCATTTGAATATAGAAAAAATTAATGGTTAAATTACTCTGAACTGTTTGCAGCAATTTGATGAATATAGTGATAACAGTCTTTGTAGGTGTCATACCTTGAAATATAACAATAAATCTGGATCAACATCAACATGATCGTTGCCTAATGAGTCTCAGTTGCAGTATCAATTGACCAGTTCACTAAATGAGTTAACTATTATAACTAATTATTTCTCCTTAACAATTTAGGTAGAAGTTTTTATTTTCTTTTGAAGCAAGTTAGATTAAAACACTTGTGTGGGGCCGCACTATTTGAATGTTGGTCTGCCTATGGGTGTGGATTTTACATGAAGATTTTACTTTTGATTTTAGGGGTTCTGAAGTAAATATCATCCCGTTATTGCTGTATGTGTTTTTTGTTCTCACATACTGACCTATTCTGGAAGGTTCTAATGCAATTTTAAATCATAAACCAATAAATAAGCTTAATTTTAGGGAAGTTAAACGAAATCATTCTTGCCTTGCTGTGTATATTTCTATTATTACACTAATGGCGAACTTCAATTCGCACTGACTTAAAGTTTGGGAAGCACTCTATTACAACACCGGCCAGTACCTGCTTTGTATTTTGGCAAGCACATTTCTAACTCAGTCCTTTTCTGCTCATTTTAAAAAAACCATTTGTTTATGATTTCTGGACCGTACAAAGTTGACGGGCAGGTGAAATGTGAGAAGTGGATTCGCGATGATGATAATCGCTCTGAAGAATCAAAGGCCACATGGTGGATAAATAGGCTGATTGGCAGGACAAAGAAGAAGGTTTCAATTGACTGGCCCTACCCTTTCGCAGAGAACAAACTGTTTGTATTGACTGTCAGTGCCGGGCTGGAAGGTTATCATATCCAAGTAGACGGGAGGCATGTTTCTTCATTCCCATATCGCACTGTAAGCACTCTACGAACTAATGACTCTTAAGATGACAGAGTTGAAATAAAGGCTCCATTTGGTTGGTAACTTTATCCAACTTAGAGCCGGTAGTGGTAATTGGCTTTTTCTTCTTTTGAGCATCATAATCAGAATAAGCGGCCTTTGACTTACTTTTTTGGTTACACTAATTTAATCACACTTATCCTATCACAAAATTTAGCACATTCAGCATTTCAGGCGCTCTATCAAATAAACCTCACCAAACAGTCTCTTATTATGATTATTATTCATCACAAAACTAGCCTTTGATTATTTTTGGGGTGAAATTGATTTTATCAAATACTATGTACTTTTTGATGAAAAATTCAGCAAACTCAGCCAAACTAGCTAAATAACGCTTCCCAAACTTCTTGACACTATAAACCTTACCAGACACATCCAAGATAATAAATATGCAAAAAATCGTTTTTATTATTTTGCAGGGGTTTACTCTTGAGGATGCAACAGGATTATCACTGAGGGGGGATGTTGATTTGCACTCCATATTCGTGGGTTCCTTACCCTCAACACATCCAAGTTTTGCTCCTCAGAGGCACTTGGAAATGTTGCCAAGATGGCGGGCTCCGCCTTTTCCCGTGGGACCTGTGGAACTCTTTATTGGAATCCTTTCTGCTGGCAATCATTTTGCTGAGCGCATGGCTGTGCGAAAATCATGGATGCAACATGCATCAATTAGGTCTTTGCATGTCGTTGCCCGCTTTTTCGTTGCAATGGTAAGAAGTTGCATACTTTGAGTAAACTCTATCTATACTTGAGAAGCTGAGGTCCCGTTGAGAGTGAGTGAGTGACATGTAAAAGCCCTTTTATCTAATAAATAATTTTATATAAAACATGATTTTTGGTACTATTAGTTTGACAAAAGTTCTTTTAAGTTCTTTAATTCACTAATTTTTGTTTCTAATAACTGCATTGAAACATTCCATTTGAAATCTTGCGGAAGTACTTTTACTTGTTTGAAGACGCACGCTCCAAACGGGTTCTGAGTTACTGTGGCCAGGTCACCTTCATATTGTTATTCTGTTTGTTAACATTTTATGGACTTTTGCAGCACAGAAGACAGGAAATAAATATGGAACTTATGAAGGAAGCGGACTTTTTTGGAGATATTGTTATAGTGCCGTACCTGGATAATTATGACCTCGTAGTATTGAAAACAGTGGCAATCTGTGAATATGGGGTGGGTTGACAATTCATTAAGGTGTAATTAGTGAACACCATGTTTTATGTTTCTGTTTTCACTTTTCTTAAAACAGAAAGACTCCTTCCGTCTTGAAATAATCTTCCTATTTTATTTGGCATGCTTATCAAAAAGCGTAGTTGAAGAAATTTGGAAGATTTTTGTCTGGACCAAAGAAGGAAA